AGTAGGGCTGGCAATAGACCTAGGACTCGGTGGATATACCCGAACCAGGTCTGGGTATGGGTCCAAATTTGGACCCGCGGGTAAGGGTCCGAGTCCAACACTCCTTATCTAAAAATTTTCAGGTACGGGTACAAGTATGAGAGGACCCGTCCAGTACCTGACCTGGACCTATTTTAAAAAAATATAGATATATATATTTAGTATATTAAGTTATTAACTTATTAAGACATTGCTTTGGTATTGGGTATCTCATAATCCAAACATGGAATGCTTGTTTGTGGGGTTATGGCTTATGGAATGCTTGTTTTGTCTCTTCTATGCATACAATGCATGCTAAACAATGAATATGTTTATTATTATTATGGTGTTTATTCTAGGATAATCTTAGTTTATTCATTTGTACTTAAACAATTAGTTATGAATGTGTTGTGTATTTCGAGCTATGGATGTTTATCTAAACATAGGTCATAGGAATTTTGGAACTATTGTATTGTGACTGTTTTTGAATAATTTGCTATTGCTTTGTTAGTAAATCATGTATATTGAGGATGAAAATCAAGATATAGAAACCATAGAAATGCCATTGTCACCCCCCTCATCCCCTAAATGTAACACTTCATCTTCAGTTTGGGTAGACTTTGAAAAGTTTATAGATGAAAAGTGGGAGCTAAAAGCTGTTTGTAAATATTGTAAGAGGAAGCTAACCGGGGCTAGTAAACATGGGACTAGCTACTTGAAAAACCACAAAAAATCATGTCCCCAGAGAGTGCGTGTAGGTGTAGATGCAGGTCAACAAATGCTAATGGCTTGTTTTGAGAAAATAGATGGTGGTTTAAGCAATTTCAAATTTGATCAAGACAGAAGTAGAAGCGATCTAGTAAAGATGTTTGTCTTATATGAGCGCTTTTTCAATTGTGGAGCGCCATGATTTTAGAACTTTTATAAGAAATCTACAACCATTATTTAAAATGGCCAGTCGCAACACCATAAAATTTGACATCTTGAAAATGTATAGGAATGAAAAAAGATAAATTGCATGAGGTTTTATAAAAGATCCCTAGTCGCATTTGCCTCACCATAGACATATGGTGATCATGTTGTAACCAAGGTTACTTATGCTTGTCTGGCCATTATATTAATGATGCATGGCTTTTGCAAAAAAATAATCATTAGTTTTGTGTATGTGCCATCTCCTCATGCTGGAGATGCCATTGCTGATGTTTGATGGATTTATTAATGGATTGGAAGATTGAAAACAACTTGTTTATTATTACTTGGGACAATGCATCTTACAATGATGTAGTTGCATCATCTCTAGTTATTCAATTATCTCGAAAGTTCGCACTCTTACTTGATGGTAAGATGTTCCGTGTACATTGTTGTGCTCATATTTTAAATCTTATTGTGCAACATGGGATAAGAGAAATAAAAGAGATAATTGCCAAGATCAGAGACATTATCAAGTTCATTAAACGATCCCGAGAAACGCAATAAAGATTTAATGGGGGAATCTAGGTTCTTAGAATTGAAAGCAAAAAAATATATATGCATTTGATGGTCGCCTTCGAGCTAAAAGAGACAAGTTTTCGATTTGCTCAACGGGAATCAATGTCAAATTTGATTCCATCTAAGGCTGAATGGGAGAGAGCAAGTCAGATTTGTGAATGTTTGAAAAACATTTATGATGCTACAAATGTTTTTTCGGGATCCAAGTATCTCACTTCTAATATGTATTTCCCCGAAGTATGCAAGATTCATTTGTGTTTGAAAGAATGGTGTTCGAGCTCTATTGAGTATATTAGTTCTATGGCCACCAAATTGAAAAAGAAGTTTGATAAATGTTGGAGGATATGCAATTTAACATTAGCGATTGCATGTGCTGTGGATCGTCGGTACAAACTTAAATTGATTAATTTATACTATCCTCTAATACATGGTGATGAGGCGACACAAGCAATTACGATGGTTCGAGAAGGGGTTTATAACCTATTTAAATAATATGAATCAAAAGAATCATCTAATTTCAATATTAATATTGGAAGTAGTGTAGTTGGAGTACAGTCTTCTTCCTACAATGTCAATGAATCTCGCATAGAGAGAAAGATGCAATATAAAAAATACATTCAACAAGATTCTACTAGTATTTTAAGAAGGTCATAATTGGACTATATGGACAAAGCTGTCTATCCAGAGGATATAGAAAATTTCAGTATCTTAATTTGGTGGCGAGCCAATGCACCCAGGTTCCCCATTCTTTCAAAAATGGTTAGAGATATTTTGGTGATTCATGTATCCACAGTAGCATCTGAGTCCGCATTTAGTACTAATGGAAGAGTTTTAGACCAGTTTCACAGTTCCTTGTATCCATCAACCGTGCAAGCGTTGATGCGTACCCAAAATTGGCTACAGAATGATAAAGAAGGTAAAACAATTTCAATTTTTGAATTGTTGGTAGTTGATTAGTTTCTATAATTGTTGCTTTCTAAACCCTTAAAATTTCTCATTCTATTTGTGTTTCAGTCTTAGGGGATGCATGTGCACCATCAACTAGCACTCTCGCTTCTACTGTTGATGTGGAAGTTGACGAATGCGATTGGTGACTCAGGTATCAATTCTTAGATACTTACTAAAATAATCTACTTAGACATAGTTAATTTCTAAAACTGTATAGCTTTATGAATTGTGTTAACTATGTATTGTATATCTATGCTTAATCTTGTGATTGTGTAACTTTGGTTTGAGAATTATGACCGAGGGCATGATTTGATATAGTTGTGGTTTGATAATTGTAATTATTCTCCATTATATAAGAAGAAGCTCATTGCTAGTAATCAACTTTAGATCATTGCTAGTATTCATCTTTAGAGATCGAAATTCTCTTGATGGAGAGAAAGCCATTGCCCATGTCATACGAAAATATTTTTGGGAGATGATATGTTAACCATGTCCTTCATTTCCTGGTTCCCTTTATTTTTCTTGTTGAAAGTTAGCAGCTTTACTTATTCACACATGTACATAGAGAGAGAAAGAGAGAGGCTTTTATGATTGTGTATAGTTTTTTATTGATGACTTTAGCTATATTTAAATAAACAGAAGCCACTAGATTGTTTAGAAATGCTGATATAAGGATTATTTGCTTTTTGAATAGTTTTTAATTGTTAGGTATTTTCTTGTGATCTATTTATGTTTGGGCATTGGTGCATGTTAATTGTGATATTTGATTCTACTCTTGCGTGCTGCTTATCTTCTTTTTTTTGTTTTTTTTAAAAATATGTATAAATGCTTCAAATAAACTATGTGTAAGTGGCTTATTTTAGTAACATGCATTTCTTTTCTTGGTAAATGTTAAAAAGACTTGCATTTATAGTTTTGCCTCAAGATTTCGGTGTGGTAGAGAGTAGTTGGGCAAGAATATGTTTCAATTGAAGATTTTTCACGAACTGGTTTAGAGAGAGGGAGAGTGTCAGAGAGATGTATATTGATGAGAGATGATGAGCAAACAATTTATTTATTTATTGTTAGCTGTGTGACTGTGTGAGCTTTTTTTTGGTAGCCTTAAGAGTCAGAGAGATGTATATATTTTTTATTATTTTATTGATGTTGAATGAATAATGATGCATTTTTTTTTTTCTGGTTTTATTTGAGAGTGCAAATGAAAGAACATTTTTCATTTTTTGTCATATGATGGAATGAAGATTTTTCATTTTTTTGGTTGACTGTTATATTGTTGATGTTGAATGATGTATGTTTGTGAATTTGTTATATTTTTTATATTATTTTGTTGATGAATAATGTATTATTTTATTTGAGAGTGAAAATGAATGAAGAATTTTTTAAAATTTTTTTTACCATAAAAAAAAAAATTTAAACATTGTTTGGGTATTTTTTATTCTCGGGCCAGGTTTCTGGTCGGGTCAACACTCGCAAAAGTAGTTTAATAGGTCAGGGTACGGGTACAAAACAATTGGACCCATCGGGTATGGGTCTAAGTCTAGGTACAAATAGGCTATCTCGCGTACGGGGGTACGGGTCTAGCTAGACCCGACCCAATCTATATATATATATATATATATATAAGTAAATAGTTATAGTAAGTATCGTACTTAACCTTAAATGTAGAGTACTACGTATCGTCCCCTAACAAAACTCCTAGTAACGGTAAAAGGT